GCGATGGAGAAGTCCATTCGGTTGCTATGCGCAAGCCAATTGACTGAAGATGCAGTCTTTCATCTGGCTGCGCTCACCTAACACACTGAATGTGAAGATCTGCGTCTGACAGCTTTGCTCAGCACGGCTTCGCATGCAGTGTGTCACGAGCTTTACTGCCCAGACTGACAATATCACACAAAGGTAAATATACAAACAGGATCACAACACCTACAATTAACATACACATTTTATGTTAAAAATTATATCTTTCCCAAAACACTCACAGCTTTAATGAATTTCTCAGACAGCGCACATTTGGATCCAAAGCTCTTCGACTGCAGCGTCATGTTCTCCTTGGTCTGGGAGTCAAACGTTGGGTTCTCAATCAAAGAGTTCACAAAGAGCCACATGTGGTTCTTCACCTGTAAGAAAGCATCAGTTTATACCAACTCAAAATGCTAACACAAGCTAACAAAAAGGTTTCTGAGACCAATGCCAAATGAGCCACGCACAAACCTGGAAAGGCTTCACAGCCACTCCACCCTTGTTCTTCTTCTTAACAACATCAATGATTTTGGTAACAATCTGATCAGCAACGTAGTCAACGTGTCTACCACCCTGGTAAGCAAGAGGGAGGGGGAAAAAAACGTTACCCGAACAGAAATCAATGCAGTCAAAAATAGCATTCACCTGGTTAGAAGAAAAACCCCAGGCAGAACATTTGCTTGTTGTGGACAGAAGGTGTTAGAACCTCATGTTATCACTTCTGTAGCCAGGTTTTTCTTTACTTCCCAAGTAGTCTTTAAGAAAGGAACAGAGCAAAATCTCTCCAACAGAAGCACAGAAAGTTTTTTTTATATAGAGTAGGAAGGGTGAAAACATTTGACCGGTTTTATTGTAGTCTGTGTCCCCATTGGGGAGTCCACATTACACGTTTGATCAACAGGAACAGATATGAGAGGACATTTGACCAACAGGAACCCAAAATTACCCCAGTTATAACCAAAGACCTATGTGTTTGCTTTCTTCAAGGCAGCATGAAACACACTATGGTCTACTATAGTGCCAATTAGTAAATAACAGCAATAAAAAGAGCTAGTTATGAAATGATGAGCGAGAGATCGATTGAGATCTTTTATTTCATCAATTACAACCCCGTGAAAGCCAACTTCTAAAAATATCATCCCCTGCACAGCAGCACTTAAAAAATGGTAGTAGACCAAAGGTAGGGATGCACCGATACCAGTATCGATGCCGAGTATTTGGGAGAGCACTCGTCCAAATGCTCTGATGCCTAGTCCGATAATTACGGTATCAGGAAGCCGCACAGCGCGTCATTAGACGCTCCTGATTGGCCAGAAAACTGGCTCCATGCTTTCTCTTCACCTAGCAACGAGAAGCATGGGGACGGCTTGCCTGCTATAGAATATTCTATAATTTGTTCAAAGACCTTCATATGGTCGTTGCTGGCAGCACCTATCTGCTGAATAGTCAGTGTCTTGTTTCTCCTCCAGTGGCCAGGCTCCAACCCTGCTGTTAGATACAAGTATCTTGCAACTCAATGAGAGATGCCATAGGGAGAAGGGGGTCACCCGAGTACCATTTCTAACAGACATTAATAGTAGGAATAAAAATGTACCTTTGTGGTAGCAATGCTGTTGACAAAGCTGACTTGCTGGAAGCCCTTTTCACTCATGGTCAGACACATCTCCCAGCGGTCGTTCACTACCTCATGGGCGATTTTCAAAGAATTCCCCGTCTCATCCACCTTATCTTTAACATACATGTCCACATAACTGCGGAAGCCAGTTACCTGAAAGGCACACATCCATCAAATTCCAAATACCAGGCTTAAAATAACACCAAGATATATTAGAAGAATGACCACCACTTACAGGAAGCTTTTTGCCATTGAGAAAGACTTTCACTCCTTTGGAAGAGCCTGCGACATCATAAGCTCTTCGAGACATCAGAGCCACAATGTCCTTATCCAGAGTCTGCATCTTGAATTTGCTTAGGTCTGGCTGGAACGTGATGCAGGTATAATCTTCTCCATCAAAAGATTTTATCTTGGGCTCCGCAGTATTTGCCATGTTGTTGGTCCAACTCTGTTAAGAGCAGTAAGAAGAATAAGCCTGGCTATGCATTGGTTGATGGGACTAGTATTCCAAGCTTAACCGCTTGAAGATCAGGTGTTTAGACCCCCTTCCTGGCCAGGCCATTTTTCAGTGTTCAGCGCTGCGGTACTTTGACTGACGTTTATTCCATCATGCAACGCTGTACTGAAATGAATTTTATACAATTTTTTGGGGACAGATAGAGCTTTCTTATGGTGGTATTTAATCACCACGGGGGGGTTTTATTTTTTACTATAAAAGGAAAAATTACTGATAATTAAAAAAAAAAAAAAACGTTTATTTTTTTTTACATTAGGTTATAAAACAACTAATATTACCCACTTTTTTGGTAAAATATAAAAGATGAGGTCACGTCGGGTAAATAGACACCAAACATGTCAAGCTTAAAAATCGAAATCGCAAAAAACTAGCATACCCAAAATTGGCCAAAGGCGACGCTTTAAACGCTTTTATAGCTCATCAATTTAGTGTTATTAGTGATTGATGGCCCTAGAACTGTTCTCATTCCGACGTTCACGGCGATATGCAACATGTGCGGCGTAATGGGCGCAATCGTCGTGTTCGCAGGTATGCGCACCTTACGGGACCTCATATTAACGGGCATCGCTGCCTGTTTTAAAATAACCGGCATTTCCAGCTCACGCGCACCGCGCGGGTGGATGTAACAGGACGTGTATACACGCCCAGTTACATCCAAGAAGCTCCCGGCCGGCCATACACAACTAGCGGCCGGGAGGTAGTTAAAAGCACAAAATCCATAAAACAGAGGTCACCATTCCATTTCTGGCAAACCACCCCCCACCCCCCGCAGGAATCCTGTAAGTGCCGAGCCCCACTGCTTCTAAGTGATTTCATGGCTAGAGCAAGCAACTTTAACATTTCAAGAGTAAGAAATTACAGTTTGTACATGACCAATATCTCCATCTACAATTAGGTCTCCTGTCTTCAACCTGTTTTATTAGTCCTTGTACTGTTTCTGGAACATTAGTTTCTACTCATTCTCCCAGACCCAATCATCTTTCCCCTCTGCCCCAGACCACAGCCAGCTATACCCGTTCTACCATTGATGCATGACATGCTCCCGCTGCTGGCTGCAAGTGTTAAATACTCATGTGCAATTTTTTTTAACGCTGTTTACTAGGTATGCACCGATATATCGGCCGAAAATGGCACTTTTGGCAAAATGCCGAAAGAGCCATGTTTCGGCCGATACATCGGGTCATCCCTGGTTTCCTTTCTCCCCGCTGGGCGCTGTTCCAGCGGGTAGAAAAGAAAGCGACAGCCGCCGAGCGCTGCAGGAGTCAGGACGAGAGCGCTGTGAGCTACGGCATCTCTCCTCCCACACCGCTCAGCCGCCTATCACAGTCCGGCAGAGCGGTGTGGGTGGAGACATCGCTGTCACAGGAGGCTGGGCTTTCCTCTCTACACGGCTCGATCAGCCTCCTGTGACAGCGTGTCAGAGAGAAAAGCAAGATACACACACTCAGCGATCATTGATCGCTGAGTGTGTGTACATAATTGAGGATATGGCATGTTAACTATATCCTCAATTATGAATGAATGGGAGTGATCTACATCACATCTACATCCCCCCATTCATTCATAATTGTAGTTATAGTAAACATGCCATGTACTCATGTTATCAATAAACAGGAACACTCATAGAGGATTCCTGTTCATTGATAACAGGGGACACAGAAAGAGAGATTGAGGACTCTGTGTTCTCAATCTCTTTTTCTATTTTAAAAGGCAAATATCAGGGGTCTGTTTAGACCCCTAATATTTCCACGAAGCCCCTAAAAGTAAAGTTAAAAAAAAATGAATAAAAATAAATATAAAAAAATTGAAAAGTTTATAAAAAAGAAAAAGATTTAAAAAAATTGAAAAAATAAAAAACATTTTCGGTATCGGTTTCGGCCTGACTTTTATTTCGGTTTCGTTTCGGTTTTAAAAATTCCATTTCGGTGCACCTCTACTGTTTACTGAATTTAACTTTCTGCCATTAAATTTCCTACCCGACTCTGCTAAATCTAAGGGAAACTCATACCCATGATACAAGCCAACCAGTGACATTGAAGCTGTCACAGGTCGGCTCTATTGATCAGGGATAGGCTCCCACTGCAATCAAATTGTTGGGTGGAGAGGAGGGGAGTGGTCTGCCACAGGGGTGTGTGTGTCTGTGGATGCACACAGCCACTGCACACGAGCGCCTCCATTAGCCGATGGAGGCACCCGTGGGGCCTGGGGGGGGGAGATCGCTGCGGGGACCCACTAGAAAGCAAGGAATTACAAACTTTTAAAAGAAAAACGGCAACAGCCTCAATCAAAAGGTGGGTCTCCTTGAAGGAAATATTTTTTTTAAAAAGGAGGCTTTAATATCACTTAGTGCTCTAAGCAAACAGCATTTTTTAAAAGGTTATCAAAGGCACCCAATTGTATATCTCACTAGAGCAGGGATAGCCAAACTGCAGCCCTCTAGCTGTGGCGACACTACAAATCCCATGATGCATTTTTCTCCGGGAGTCATGTTTGTGGCTGTGAGAATCTTGCAATGCCTCATGGGATTTGTAGTTCCACCACAGCTGGAGGGCCAGAGTTTGGCTACCTCTGCACTAGAGGTATACACAGTTAACCACCCTCTGTGGTACTTACTTGTTTGAAGATCTTCTTGTACTCCCTGCATGCAGTTTCCACTGTAAATTTGGTGCTAAAAATGTTACACAGTTTGGCACCATAACCATTACGACCACCTGCAATATAGATTTTAAAAAATGCATCATGCAAACTCAAAATCTATCACCAAGCATAAGCAGTGCAGATAGTGTTCACCAATCGGTGTAAGCAAAGTAGTACTGGACATTTTAAAAAAAATTTGAGATATCCCTTCCTTTCATTTTCTAGAGAAAAAAGGTGAGTGGAGATATATGTGGAGATATATATATATATATATGTGGGTAGAATTTCTTCTCACTTCTCACAAAGTGAGAAGAAATTCTACCCACAGTTGTCATAAGCGGCTGCATTAAAAGAAAATCCCTCACACTTTTCCAGTAGATACCAACATTTTTCACGTCCTCTCCCCTGCTGTCCTTGTGTAAACAGTCACCAGGACAAATACTGAGATTAGACCTCCACAAACAGCAATAAAAACCCTTCTCCTCTCTATCCAGAAAACAAAAAGTTGTTTTCTACTTCAAGCTTTAGGAAGGCACTAAAAAAAAATGACCCTACATGGAAACAAGTTATAGAACTAGATAAAGGTGCTCAGACTCACCGGTAACTTTCTTCTGCTCATCGTCATAATTACTGGAGGTCAGGAGCTGTCCAAAGATGAGGGCAGGAACGTAGACCTTCTCTACTTTGTGTTCCACAACGGGAATACCCTTCCCGTTATTCCACACACTTACTGAATTATTCTCACTAGGAGCAAACATAACAGAAATGTCTCAATGGTTCAACCTGGGAAAGCAAACATTCTTCCTGTATATGCAAAGTATTAGCTACTTACGGGTCAATTACGATCTTGATGCAGGACATTGTCGGGTCCCTCTGCTTGTTATCAGCAGCATTTACTAAAAGAAAAATAGTTTAGACAATGCTGACCGCCTCGTACGATGTGACCGTACAAAGAGCAAAAATCACTGCACAGCCACTGACACTTTGGTTTACTTCATTTTGATTGGCTGCTGTGAGTTAATGCACATTATTGCTCATTACTTTATTAACCAATTCAAGACCAGGTGTTTAGATCCCCTTCCTGGCCAGGCCATTTTTCAGTATTCAGAGCTGAGGTACTTTGACTGACATGTATTCTGTCATGCAACGCTGTACTGAAATGAATTTTATAACATTTTTTTGGGGACAGATAGAGCTTTCTTTGGGTGACATTTAATCACCACTGGGGTTTTACTACATGAGAAAAAAAAAAAAGTACCGTAAATTAAAAATAAAAGAAAAATAATGTTTTCCCCTGTGTTATGTTAAAAAAACATTTATTCTTAGCCATATTTTTGGTAAAATATAAAAGACGGGGTCACGTCGGGTAAATGGACACCAAACATGTCAAGCTTTAAAATTGCTTGCGCCCACAAAATAAAAAATATCATATCCAAAACTGGCCATAGGAGACGCTTTAAAAGCTTTTACTGCTCATCAGTTTATTAATAGTGATTAATGGCACTAAAATTATTGCCCTCACTCTGACGTTTGCAGTGATATGTAACATGTGGCACAATGGCCATTTTCGCTCGTAGGTGCACCCGACGCATGTTTGTGTGGGCGGGGGACTGTAAAATTTTATATCTTTACATTTTGTATCTTTTTTTTCTTTTAAATGTTTTCACTTATTATTACATAGGATTTATATAGCGCCAACAGTTTGCGCAGCGTTTTAGAATATAAGGAAGACATTATAATTACAATACAATTCAAAACAAGATGGTAAGGAGGGCCCTGCCCCTGGGGGCTTACAATCTAAAAGTGAGGGAGAAGTGATACCTGGAGGAGGTAGCTGTGTGGGGATGAACTTAACTTTATTGCTATCACATAGAGGGCCAAGAAGCCCCCTATGTGATAACCAATTTACACAGACAGGTCCCCTTTATGGACCCGTCACCTAGGGACCCCCAAAGAAGCAGAGATCTGCTTCACCAGCTACAGAAGCTGGAGAATGACAGCTGAATGTGGAAGTGACGTAATATACACAATTCAGAGAACTGGGAAGAGATCATGTGATGGTCTGCCGCTGATCTCCAGTGACAGAGCCGCCCTGCAGGTGCCGAGTCCGCACCGCATACAGCGGGAATCGGAGCCGGGGGGGCTGACACCCTCACGCATTATACAAGCAATCCAGTGGCTCTACAGCCGTTGGACCGGTTGTATGTAAGAAGCCATCGCTGGCTATTTACAATTTAGGCAGTTTTCAAGCTCGTGCAGCACCCAGCGGCGCGCACAAGCGGGGATGTTAAAAAACGCTCGCTCACATCCAAGAAGCGGTTAAATAAGCGTACAAGACTTGAATGGCAAATATGTTATGTAAACTTACCTAAGATTTCATCAAAGATTTTATACAAGCCAGGGACAAAAGTCACTTCTCTGTTGTTTAGCCCTTCATCTTCGTCAAACACCCACATTTGCTGGGAAGAATGAAAAACATTTAGATACTCGTATTACAAACCCCAACTTTTCTTAGTTCCCTAAAAATAAAAGAACTCCTCCAAGCAAAAACTTTAAGTAGGGGTAGACCCGTGTATGGGTTATAGGAGAACTATGGGGTCAGTGCTTTTCCCCATGGGTCTCCTCAGGGTCACGGGAGGACACAAACTAGCGTCCTCCCGTGACTCAAAGCTTAGCATACCGTGAGCTACAGCTCGCGGTATACGGAGACCGCCGCAGCCGGGACGGATCCCGACATTACTGTCTGGATCCACCCAGCTGTGTGATTGACAGCTGGCTCTGCCTATCTAGAGGCAGAGCCAGCTGTACCCGCCCCCTCCCCGTCCGTTCCGCCAGGGGAGGGGGGGAATCCCTGCAGGGAGCCGTGAGAGAGACACTGCTCTCTGCAGGGACAGGATCAAGAAGTAAGCGAGCGACGGTATGTGTTCTCTCACTTCCCGATCTACAGACCCGACGTATGACAGTTTCATTGTCACACGTCAGCTCGAACTACGAGGCAGAGTGATTTTCACTCACCTCATAGTTCTCCTTTAAGTAGGGGTAGCCCTATGTATGGGTTAACTACTTGTTTTGTCTAAGTGCTATTAAAAAAAAAGTTAAGCCTCTCCAACCACCGAGCCGGCTCCATTTCTCCAGTCCCTGAAGCCTGTCTCCTACACCAGCATTGGAATGTTCCTCAACATCCTAATTACTATACATTGTGTATAGAACGTGATGATTTAAGGGGCCTTAGAGCGCTGCAGCGCAGAGGGAAGAGAAGTTCCAGGGACTAGTCTAAGTCGAGCTAGCCAGCTCCACGGCTCAGGTGAGTAACTTTTTTTTGCACCTAGACAAAAATGAGCAGTTAACCCCTGAAGTGCAGGGATAGCCCCACTGCAAGAGTTAATAAACGTTTTACCCGGCATTGATCTATAAGAATTGTTTAAACCCCTTTGTCATACTTTTTTGGGGCTGAGCCCCCCCCCCCCTCTCGTAGACATTTCCCTCTACTTCCTATCCCAGAGACAAAACACAAATAAATCCTTTGCTATTTTACCTGTTAAAAAAAAAAAAAAAAATCAATCAAGGCAACTAGTCTTGCTGTATTTTTCTTGAAGACCTTTACCTGGTCATCAATTGAGAATTCTGAATTGAGAAAGCTGGTCGGATGGCCAGTGAAACATCTTGAAGAAAAAAAACAACAAGTCCAGTTGCCTTGATTTATTTCTAACAGATATGCCATGACCTGGATGAGTGAGAACCTTTACTTTCCTATTTTAGTTCTCAGACATGTCTGCATTAGAAAACAACTGCAATGTGTTGAGGTCCCTTCACTTTCCGTCCCAGTGACAAGTCACCGCAACTCAGAGCCTCCGTCAGCTGTGCATTGCTGTCTGTGTTCCCAATAGGGAGTTACACTAACCCTTGGCTATTTCAGTACTCTGACTGGAAACCAGGGCTAGATATAAGCTACTCGAATGTAAGTACATTGTATCTGCTATGACTAAGCATAAGCAGGTTCAAAATGCCCAATGTTAGTGATGATTCTTCCATTCTCGACCCATTTTCCTACATGACAGCCTCTCTACACAAAGGCTTGTAGGTGTCCTGTGTCAGCCGGGATGTATTGTGTACCCTTATGTTGGAACAAGCTTGGCACAAATCAATTCACTGGATTTTCTATGACCATGACCCTCCATATCAGAAGCGATAGGATCATTATTCTTACCTGCGTAACAGGCTCTACGGAGCCAATGTAGGTATCTGGGCGGAGCAATATATGCTCCAATTGGGTCTTCTTCTGGTAAATACGTTCGACAGAGAGGCGTTTGTTATCCCCTTTCTTCACCTTATCCACCGCAGTCTTGTTCTCATTAAAGAGAGGCTAAAAGAAACAGAAAAAATTGGCATTACATCATCAGCACTGCTACAAATACATTACTAACAATACATGGTGATTTGTGGGGCATCTCTCCTCCCTCTGGGTCCCCTCAGAGTGCAGCGTCCAGCAGGGAGGAGAGAAACTGTCAGGAGGACGAGCGGTATGATTATTGATGTTACAAGAGGCTGAGCTCTCCTCCCGTGGCCCCACTCAGCCTCCTGTGACCAGTTAGGATGGAGAGCGGTGTGGAGGGCTGAAACAGCTGTCACAGGAGGCCGAGCAGGCGGTGAGGAGTCAGCTGTCAAAATAGACCGAGCTTTCCTCCTCTGCACCGCCGGCTCAGTCTCCTGTAAAAGCGAGCGGGTACAAGCAGTCAGCGATCACCAAGTGTTAGTAAATAATTGAGGACAAAGTGATGAGAATTTATCAAAACTGGAGCAGACAAAATCGGATTTGTACTCCCAGCCTTCCTGTCTCAGCTGTCACAAGCCGGGCTGCGCAGGAGATCAATCGCATTGCTGTGCTCCATGTTCTTTATTGAAGGGCAGGCTCCATAAAGAGAACCTGTCACCTCTAAGCTATCATACAGGGGCTTATTAGTCCCTGAGTGATAGCAATAAAGTGAACATTTTAAAAAGTTTATAAAAAAATAAGGCCTATACAGAAAAATAACAAAGAATCCCAATGCTCCTGTCTAGGCCAAGGAAACACAAATAACCAGCACTAGGCGACATTTTTATTTGGTGTGTATGATGTGTGTCCTGTTTCAGGTGGGAAGAGACTCTCTCTCAAGATGCTGTCCCCGGAAGATTACTTGGGGAAAATAATGTAAAACCAACCCATCTGCATGTGAATAAAATCATGTGCAGGGCATCGAGTGTGTGCCAAGTAATTGTGGAACATGAAATAACACCCTCAAATCTGGCCCCCTCTCTCCTCCTAAGGGACAAGCACATCGTTCACAAGGGACAAGCACATCGTTCACAAGGGACAAGCACATCGTTCCCCCGCTTTAGTCATTGGACAAGTATTTTTTTGTTTTGTTAAAATGTCCACCTCCCCGGGATGACGCAGTCAACAGGATAAAGATGCAGACAACGGCACGCCAGAATTGCTGAAGAACACGTCTTTTAGTGACGCAGGAATGTAATATCACACCTTCAATAAATAAACTCAGTTGGGTTATAGGAAAAGCGACGCAAAGACCGAGTACTTTTTGGCATAACAAGTGTGTTGCACGTTCATATTGCATGTGTCTTTTGCAGTATGCCACACAAACCTCGGCTGCAACATTCCTTGACACCGTGTACTTTATCAGTGTGAATATATATTTAGTGAGGTCCTTAGCCTGAAGTGGGTGGGCGGGCAGGCAGGGTGGGTGGTTATGGTGGACCACGTGGGAGCGGGGTAGAGGAGACAACACCGCTTTCTGCAGTCCCTGCATCTCCCTGACTGGCTCTTAGCAACCTGGGACCTCTGGTCAGCTCCTAGCAACCAATGACATCACTGGTTGCCAGGAGCTGGGTGGGATGCCGCCCAGGATGCTCAGACCTGGAGGGGGAGATGTGTATGGCCCTTACTCCTCTTCCCACATGACACTTAGAAGCCTGGGAAACACTGGACGGAAAGGAGGCGGCAGGCACACTGCAAACATTGTGCAGTAGTGTCCCCCCACGTTACCCAAAAATGCCGCCGGAGGAAACAACCTCATTATAGGGACAGCCCTGCATATCCTTGTCCTGAGGTTAGTCTCGCAAGCCAGCGCCAGATTCACAGCTTTGCCCCAAATTCATCAACGTCATGCAGGCTTGTACATGAATTCAGCACAAAGAACGCTATTCCTGTAACCCCTGAGACGCTTCTGATGTGTCTCAATGAGGCTCCTATTAAACTCCACTGATAGAAGGGGAGCCCGTCTGTTAGCTCAGCATGCCTCCAGCAGAGTCCCATGGATGCATACATGCAGCGGAACTCCAGGATTTGGAGAAATTAACCCTTGCAGTGCGCCCACCCTGGCACGGCAAGGGTTATCCACCCGTTTTGTCCTCCATTCCACCTGGCGGCTAGACCGATCCCCATAGCCTCTTCTCCCCCCCAGGCTCCGGCAGTCTAAGGACCCGTGATGTCATCACTTCCAATACAGGTCTATTAGATGTGAAGACAGAGGGATATACCACAGCCAGAGAGAAGGGGAACAGAGGTGAGCGGTCACTGCCGCAGGATCAAGGACTGGGTGAGTTAACAAGCAGCTAACCCTTGCAGTGCAGGGGTCACATCATTGCAAGGGTTAACTTTAAAAATCCTGGCATCCCCTCCTCCGTGCTTCCACATACATGTGTTACACCATCAAAAAGATTCAAAAATAGTTTGTTTTGTATTTCTCAGCTCTGCTGACTTCCTGACACAATACAACTGATCATCACTGCACCGGACTGGCTTCCTGATGGTGACAACGTGGAAATCTCCTGCCAGTGGCATGGTCACTCAGAAGTGCACGTGACAACACATTTTGGAGGCCGGGATCCAGCGTTGTCACCCCACAACCGGTGTCAGAGCAAGGATCTTTGTGTGTTTTTTTGTCCCTTTTGATTAAAGGATCAACATGCATTGAAAGACGTTAAAACGTGTAAGATTTCTGCGACTGGGCCGACACAAATCTCAACGGTTTAAAGTTCTAAAACCACCATAAGCCAGAACAAATGGCCCCGCTCAAAGCTGCGTCATCGTCATCGCATGCTACAGCTGCCGCCCCTTCCAGCCCGGGAATCTCTACTCACTCTCAGCGGCTCTGTCTCCATGGCTGAAGCGATATCGAACTGCACCGAACAACTACGACAGCGATCCGCTCCACAAGGTCCCGGTCCTAATACACTAAGCCCCGCGCGCTACTACACAATCTTCAAACCGTCCTAAACCGCGCAAATCCAACAGCCAATCTACCGCCACACCGGCCCACGAATTCTCCAATCACACCTCTGTGGGCGGAGCAAGCATGAATTTCCTCCAATCACACCTCTGAGGGCGGTGCTGGTAAGAATTCCTACCAATCATATCTCCGTGGGGGGAAGCTGGTATGAATTCTTCAATCAGCACACTCGTTTTGTCAGTACGCGTACTGACCAATCGGCAATGAACCCGACCTGGGGAGGCGGGATTTGTCCGTGATGGATGGATTAGAAGACCAATGAGATTTGTTTTCTTGGGTTTAAATCTGTCTGATTATACTGTCTCGTCTGTTTTCTGTTTTGTTTCTTCCAGATGGAAGCTGGATTTCCTGTGCGGCAATATTTGTAATAAATAAGCCGTCTGTGTAATCTTTGTTTGTAAATAACACAAGTGCTGTGTGCTCAACATTCATTTCTATCTTTTGTATTTGTTTTATGTATTCACCTTCAACATACATAGAAATTCCAGCATCGCTCATTATTCTGTTTCAGTTATTTATGAACTTTTCATCATCAATCTTAAGGACACGTTCACAATGCGTTCATGCCTTGATCGCACGGTGCTGAGCAATGTACCCACCATGCGTTAACAGTGCGTTCATTTGAATTCTGTGTTACTTGCTACTGTCTCCTACTGATGACCCCTGTACTCCATGTGTTAGCTACTGATGACCCTTGTACTCGATTTGTTACCTACTGATGACCTCTGCACTCCATGCATTACATACTGATGACCCCTGTACTCTATGTGTTAGCTACTGATGACCCTTGTACTCGATGTGTTACCTACTGATGATCCCTGCACTCCATGCATTACTTACTGATGACCCCTGTACTAAATGCATTACTTACTGATGACCCCTGTACTAAATGCATTACTTACTGATGAACCCTGTACTCTATGAATTACCTACTAATGACCCCTGTACTCCATGCATCACCTACTGATGACCCTTGTACTCCATGCGTTACCTACTGATGACCCGTGTACTCCATGCATTACCTACTGATGACCCCTGTACTTCATGCGTTACCTACTGATAACCCCAGTACTCCATGCATTAGCTACTGATGACCCCTTTACTCCATGCATTACCTACTTATGACCCTTGTAGTCCATGTGTTTCTTGCTCCTGACCTCTTTGTTCCATGTGTTACCTAGTCATGACCCCTGTACTCCATGCATTTCTTACTCCTGACCTTTGTATTCCATATTGTTACCTACTCCTGACCCCTGTACTCTGTATGTTACATACTCCCGATTCCTGCTTTCTTCTCCATGCACTCTTGACCCCTGTGTTCTGTGTTACACACTCCTGACTCCTGCAATCTGTGCATTACACATGCTTGACCCATAGTAGAGTAGGCTCAGGGTTTATTTAACGATGCATATTCAGCCGTTCCCACTGTCAGCGCAATTTTACCACACGCGTGATTCACCACGGTGCGCTGCGTGCACAGCATTGTTTCACTACTTATAGTGTCCAGGGCACATTGTCTTTATATCTTCAATGTCTGCTTCCTCTTCCAGAAGTCTGTGACCAATTGTTTCAGGGCATGCTCAAAA